TTCTGTACTTTTAGCAGGACAATGGTTTCATAAGCCCGCTATGTGCAGCGGTATTGCCTTCTGTACTTTTAGCAGGACAGTGGTTTCATGAGCCCGCTATGTGCAGCGGTATTGCCTTCAGCAATGTGGTGTCTCGTGTTGCTTCTTCGCCCATCATTTCGCATTGCTAGCAGTTAATAGTACAGGTATGCGTGTTCATATTCACCAACGAGGTCCTTTTTCCAATTCCCATGGTGTTCTATTGATGGAAAATCATGTATGGCTGGGACGGTCTTCGAGGGGTGTTCCCCGCAAACCTGCCATGTTGGGGGGGTGGGGGTAAAATATATAGAAGCATTAGGGAGTCCCATTGTGGGTCGGGGTGTTAAAGCCAGGACATCATTCACAGCCCCCCGTCACCCTTCCAGGCTAGGAACAGTGCGGCTGGCTGGCCATAGGGCATGTAACTTCCGTCTGACGCGAAAGTCTCATGTTCAAGTCTTGGGGTTTTCTTTACGTCTTATGGGGTTAGGGTGGATGTAAAGTAAGGGGGCTCAAGTGGGTTCCCGATCTGCCGAATACATATAAATGCATTAAAAAAAAGCAACAACAAAAAACAAAGAACTTCGATAAAACAAATATCTAGGGGGAATCTTTGGTTACAACACAAACTAGGTTTGTTTAGGTTTTCTCCAGATTTGTTGTTTAATTTCCCTCAGTGCCCCTCAAAAAAAAAGAAAAACGGTTATAAACATATGGCCTTCAAAATAAACTAAACGAACCTCGAGCTTGTTTTGGTTTCTGCCAAGAAAAATAACAAACCAAATCTGGGGAAAAAACCACAAATATATATTATTATTATTATTATTATTATTATTATTATTATTATTATTATTATTATTATTATTATTATTATTATTATTATTATTATTATTATTATTATTATTATTATTATTATTATTATTATTATTATTATTATTATTAATATTATTATTATTATTATTATTATTTGTATTAAAAAAAAATGTTCAACAAGTAGAAAGGGACCTCCACATCAGGGTACGGAAATCCGCCCCCCATTCCAGGAAACAGTGAGCTCCCATGTCCCGAGCCACAAATTAAGCGTAGACCAGACAGGATGCTTTGACCGAACCTCAACATGACGCATATCGTGGTAGCTCAGGAGTACGGCAGGACTCCATTTTGATAAATCAAAAGTAGACTTAAACCCAGGAGTACACTCTTGCAAAAAAGTCAATCACCGGTTGTGACTCTGTCTACGAGATGGAACCCATGCCCGCTTCCAACCGGCCCATCAAAAGCTGCGGTCTTCTTTTTGGATCCTTCGGACCGGGGGTTTACGCACGTGCTCCCCGGCCAAACAACTTGCAGCCTGGCTGGGGGAGGGCTCAAAAGGAGTTTCTGGAGCCTTGGCCTTCTGATTTGACGTCAAAACAGTCACCTCAAGTTCTTAGACTGCTTTTGTGGAGGCTGTCAATCTTTGATGCACCCTTTGGCTTTTGGTGGCTGAACCGTGCTCCACAAGACACTCTCAAAGACCTCGTCCAAAGGCTTGCACCGGCCGGCATGCGGCCCTGACGATCCCAAGCCGGAGCAGGGAAGATGAGGGACAACGAGTATGTACAGAGTGGCATCGGCATCGCATCAGTGGCCGAAGATGTTTCGGTCCCTTAGCAGTCGAGCAAGCACAAACATAGCACTCCAACCTGTGCCCGCATACCCCTCCCCCCGCCGTTCCTGCAACCATGGACTTGGCTTGGGTAAACAAAAATTCAGATTGCCTCTGACAGAATGACATGGCTTCTACACACTTGTCACGTAACGCAAGTTGTATGTAGCCTGCTGGCTAGAGCCAAAAACCTGGTGCCCTGGTTCATTCCTAACACTCAAGTTGCCAATTAAAGCATGTGCGAGTCTGCAAAAAGGCGACTACTGACCAAAACAACAACACCGCAAATGAAGCAGGGGCAATGTCCGCTGACATTGCTCGGCGGGTCGGACAAAAGATAAACCCCCCCAGTCCTTTCCTCTCTCTCCCTCTCTCTGTCCCTCTCTCTGTCCCTCTCTCTCCCTCTCTCTCCCTCTCTCTCCCTGTGTCTCCCTCTCTCTCCCTCCCCCCCTCTCTCTCTCTGCCTCGCTCTTTCTCTACCTTCTCTACCTCCTCGCCAGGCCTCTTTCTCCCCACCGGCTGCCTCTCCCCACCCCTGCGTAATTCTACTCGTCCCCCCAGTTCCAATCATTTCCCTTTAGCTCCCTTCCTTTCCGTTCATTTCTCCTTCATTGCCTTTCATTCCTCTGGTTTTCCCCTTCATTTTTTGTTTCGTTTCCCTTGCAGCATATCCTCTCCGTTTCACTGGCATTTCCCGTTTGCATTGCAGTGTCAATTCTCCCCGAGTTGCCTCGATTTCGGTACACTTCCCCTTCAGGATCGCTGTATTGTCCCCTTACTGCTGGCTTTCCCCTTCATTCCCCTTCACAACCCGTCATTTCCCATCATCCCTTCCTTTCCTTTCAATTCCCCCTTCATTTCCCTGTCATGTTGTCGGTACGTCCGCTTCATTTTCCGTGCTGTCCCCTTCATTGCCAGTTACTTTCCCACATCTCCCTTCGTGTCCTTTGACTTTCTTGTCAACGTCCTTCATTTCCCTTGGTTTCCCCTTCATTCCCCCTTCACTCCCCGTGTGTCATTTCCACTCCTTGTATGTCCTTGCATTGTCCCTTCATTTTCCCTTCATGTCCCCTTCATTCTCCCTCTTGCATGTCCCTTTCATTCCCTGTTATTTGCATGCATTTCCATCAAGTTTCCCCGTCACACACACACCCCTCTTTCATTTCGGTGTCATGCCCCCTTTCACTTCCCCGGTGGTTTGCCACACCGGCTCCCCAAAGACTATGTTTAGTGGAACATCATCAAGTTGCTGCGCGGTACGTGGGAACCCCGCCCGCCCCCTCCCCCCCGTAGTTGATGTGTCCCAAAGAGCGAGAGAGAGAGAGAGAGAGAGAGAGAGAGAGAGGAGAGCGCGAGAGCGAGGCGAGAGAGGGGAGAGAGGGAGAGAGAGAGGGAAAAAAGGGGAGAGAGGGGAGAGAGGGGAGAGAGGGGAGGGGAGAGAGGGGAGGGGAGAGCGGGGAGAGGGGAGAGAGGGGAGAGCAGAGAGGAGAGGGGAGAGAGGGGAGAGAGGGGAAGAGAGGGGAGAGGAGGGAGAGAGGGGAAGAGAGGGGAGAGGAGGGAGAGAGGGGAGAGAGGGGAGAGGAGGGAGAGAGGGAGAGAGAGAGAGAGAGAGAGAGAGAGCGAGCGAGCGAGCGAGAGCGAGAGCGAGAGGAGGGGAGAGGGGAGAGAGGGGAGAGAGGGGAAGAGAGGGGAGAGGAGAGAGGGGAGAGGGGAGAGAGGGGAGGGGAGAGAGGGAAAGAGAGGGGAGAGGAGGGAGAGAGGGGAAGAGAGGGGAGAGGAGGGAGAGAGGGGAAGAGAGAGAGGGGAGAGGAGGGAGAGAGGGAGAGAGAGAGCGAGAGAGAGAGAGAGAGAGAGAGAGAGGGAGAGAGAGAGCGAGAGAGAGAGAGAGAGAGAGAGGAGAGAGAGAGCGAGAGAGAGAGAGAGAGAGAGAGGAGAGAGAGGAGAGAGAGGAGAGAGAGGAGAGAGAGGATGGGGAGGAGAGAGAGAGAGAGAAAGGGAGAGAGACCAGGAGGGAACAAGGGAGAAGAGAGAGGAAAGGGGAGAAAAGGGAGAGGCCAACGTCGGCGGAGTGAGCCGGAGGCCGTAAAGTCTATTTGCCCAAAAAGACGTGGAAAATGTGTGCTTCGGCCCCGAACTTCACAACGGGGCCCATCTCCGCTCCAAAAGACTGCCATCTGAGCAGCGCCCGAAACCGAGTGACTCTTGATTCTACTACCATTGTTGCTTGTTTATAGCTTTTATTGTTACCACCATCGATGTGCCAGATAGTAAAACTCCCACTAACATGAAACTGGCGGCTCAAATAAGCTGCGGCAAAACAAAAACAAAAACGTGGCGCTGCCTGCGATGGACAGGAGTAAGTCCCTGATATTGTGGAAAACTCCGAGCCCAATTTTGACCAAGAACTGGGTCTTCCAATAACACAGGCGCCCCGCCCAGGCTTCACAAGTTGATGAATTAATTGCTGGCTTCCACTGATTCATTGCCACTTCCGGAGCTGCAAAACGAGCACTTAGGGCTCCTTTCAGCCCTGGGGCAATGCCTGTTTCACTTATGTGCACCATCGCAATGAACACTCCCGCACAAATGGATGGAGGGGTGTGTCTAAAGAAGTGATGCCAATTGAACTCAACATGAGTTTATTCAAGCTTTATTCCTTTGAATTCCCTGGAAAGTCCCTTCGGCCCCCAGGCTTTGAAGCGCCATACATCGGCCGCCTTTCGCGCGCTTCACAAGGGCGCCGAATTCGATCGATTGACGCCCCATGTTTGGCAAAAGCGAGCTGGCCTTTGAGGGGTTCGCTTTTGATTTTCACCAGGTCCAGAGGCAAACAATTTGACTTTAGGGACCTCATGTGGCTTGGGGCTAGGTTTAAAACCACATTGGACAGCCGAGAATATTACTTAGCCCAAAAGAACCAAGCTAGATTGCTCCCCGCCAAAGGGGGAAGCACACCTGGTACGGAAAGACTTTAAACATTTCCATGCACCCAAAGGTTTGACCCTTCCGCATTGACCCAGACCTCAGCTTCCACCCCCTCCACCAACGCTGTTTCCACGCTGAACAACAAAAAGGAACATTGCAAGCCTCTCCGAAAGAGCTCCGAACCGTCCCCCACAACCCGCGCACCTCCCTCAACAAGGGAAGTAGAAAAAATTGGAAAAAATGGTACCCGCCTGAAGTCGATGCCGTGGCCGGAGAGGATCTCCGCCTTAGCCGACCGCAGCTTGCCCGCGTTGAAGGCCTTCACCTGCACGAATCCACGGACCCCAATGTCCCGATAGGAAAAGGTTTATGGAAAGGCGCTTGTGATATCCTTTGAAAATGGGAGCGGCTAAGTAGAAGTGCCCTCCGCCCTTCACGATGAAAGGAACATGCAAGGACACATGCAATGGTTTGGGTGGCGTCCAATTGTGGAAAAGACAAACAAACAAACAAACAAACAAACAAACAAACAAACAAACAAACAAACAAACAGACAACACACACAAACAAACAAAAACAGCAAACAAATCGACCCACAGAGGATTCATGCCTCCATCATTGCTGGCGCCAGCACCCATGCCCAGTTGGTAGGGCAAGGCACCCTCCAAGCCGCCCCGAAGCGACAGGCTTTTTAAAGAGAACCCTTGGCATTTCTCCGAATGATCATCGGAAAGGGGGGAACACTGAAAACGTAAGGTACTCTCAACCAAGGCAAGTGCTGGACAAAGGCAAGTACTGCCGATCCGCAGGTGAGTACCCTCTTCCTTGCCAAAGCAGTCGGCTCGTCATACCTTGATCCAAGGTGCTTCATGGGAAGGGCAAAGGTTGATGCCACACCAAGGCGCACCCTGCCTTCTTCTCGCACTGCTTGGCAGTCCATTGTTGCACATTCAGCTTGATGTCCCAATGCCTGCTCCACACCCCTCTGGGCAAGCTATCCGGACTGCCCTCTCAAAAGGGACACAATGCCCTACTCAAGTGAGTTGAGTTGAATGTCATCACTTGCCCTGAAGGTGATGTCCGCCTTAGGGGTGTTTGTTGTGAGCAATTGCTCCTTTGACTGACTGCCCAGTCAGTAACTGCAGTCCTTCCAGTATCAGTTTCATGCACAATTGTCAGGTCAAGACAAATCACAAACACCTACGCCCACCCTCACGCATCTAGAACATGGCCAGCAAGCGCTTTGCACATATTGGTTGAGCGTCTGGTGAACAGCTTTGGAGAGGACCAAGCCTGCATCATAATGCGTCATCCATCATGGACCCTTGTTGGGAAGCACAAAATCTGGCACCAGGGCGTTTTGTACCGCCGCGAAAGGGGACGTAAAAAAAACAAAAGGAAAGAATGTACCATGTCTCCGCACATGTTCGAGGGAAAGTCCACCCTAAAGTTCACTAGCCTTCCAGTGGGCAGCAGGGGCCCAAAGGTTTGCTGTCCCTCGCTGAACCTCCCCCAATCGCCGCCAATAAGTCACCTAATATGTCACCTCTGGGGCCACGGCATCTTCTGGTAATCGTCGCCTCAACAAGAGCAGGAAAGAGGTTGCACTTTCAAGCCATAACAAAGGAGGCTCGCCATTTTGAGGTTTCCCCCAAATTCCCCCAAAACCTGCGTAGTGGCTCTGGCCGCCAGCAAGAAAGGCGTTCACTTTAAAAATATTGGTAAGAGACCAACTCGCGCCAGCCGTGTCTGATCTCAATCTCTGAAGTCAAGCCCTTGCATTACTTTTCACGTCGTTTTCTCTCTTGTCCGACTTCCTGCCAGGGACCCGTGCCATGCTTGGCAATCAGCTTCTTGCAAATCGGCGCCTCATCCTGTCACGCATGCTGTGCTGCTCTAGGCCAGCAAAATGCCGCCAAAAGTTGACCAAACAATGAAAAAAACATCCTGAACCGGTTGACCCTCTTGACCATCCCCCTCTGAGATTTCTTGCAAAGCAACTCCTCGTTCACCTTCACAGGATGCGCGCCCTTCTTAGGGATCTTCTTTGGAAGCCTATCGTAGTACATCTCTTTCAGGTCCGTCGCCTGCGCTGGCACTCGCAGCACCCTAGCGGCTCAATCGGGCCAGTAGGGTTAGTAGTTGCAACATGCATCAAGACTCAGCTTGGTGTTCTCTTGGTAGGAAGCAAGCAAGTACGCCACGGATCATAAGCCTTCCCTCATGTGAACAGGAGGAGGTTCAAATCTCGGCACCACCCATCCAAGACGGCAATTCAGGCTTCACAAGAGTCAAAGGCCGTAGCTGCCGCAAGCCCCCGGACACACAAATAAAGAAGTCTCAGACCGCGAAATGGCGTCTATCGAAAAACCCAAGAAACCGAAGCCCTCCGTCACTGGTAGGTGGGGTGCGCGGAACCAGGAAGCTCAGGCAGTTTGCCGCAATGGCAAAACTGCATCCCAAAAGTCTCCGGCCAGACTGAAGAAATTGAGAGGTCGATTCACCCTCACTCCCCGCCTTCCGCCCACCCGCCCACCCCACCCCGCGCCCGCCATGTTTCCACCAGCCAATGGAACAAACAACCCACGCCGCGCGGGCAGATGCGAATTCCGACGGCACCTCCAGATTCTCTTGCAGCGTCTTTTTGATGTCGAAGCGCTTTCGCAGCTCCTTACGTGTGGGTAGGTTTGCCCCTGAAGGAAACTGGAACTAAACAGGATGATTGTGTTGCCAGTTGAGATAACCCCGTAAAGGGTACCCTCAACCCTCATTGTTTTGACCAGTCTTGGACAGTGCTTGAAAAGAAAGCAGGAGGAAGTCGACCATTCGTGTGTTTCAAGAACGACTTAAGGAGAACGCCGCCCTAGCAAACACTCCCTGTCTTAAGTCGAGTCGCTTGCCTGCAACATTCAAGATGTTAGATACGTCGCTGACGATAGAAGTACTGTCCTATTATCATGCCAACCAAACCTTCAATGTGCTCAAATTCACCAAGAACATTTGGGGATAGATATTTAGGAAAGTCCCGGAGAACTAAGTCGCTTGTCATGATGGTTCCACCATCCGCAGCAGCCCCGGAGCTGAGGAGCCCAGTTGATCTTTAACACAATTCCTTGCGTAGTTGATTCACATTGCGGAATGGAAACCAACCACATGTCATGAAACATGCAATACAAACACGTCCCTGGGGTACACACACAACATCCGCAGCGTACAGAGGCCAGCGCCGGATCTTGAATCTGGCGCACATTGAAGTGCTTCTTCTGGATTTTCTTCTCCTTTGGCTTCACCGAAACCACCTGCAACATGCCAAAGCAAGCAAAAGTTAAACATCGGCAAGCATGCCAACCAGCACCTCACCAACCAGATCGAGCGATGGCAATATCACCCTTTTTTCCCCGTCTTGTTGCATTCCCCAAGATAATTAACTTGGCCCTCGTGTCGCAATTTCACCAGCCGCCTTTGCGTTCCGCCGCTTGCGCAGAGATCTTGCCATAGCGGAATGCAAGCAGGGGCAAGTTGGCAAAAAAAATGCTGGCTAAATGTTGGCTGTTCTGTTTTGTCAACATCAGGTCTTGAGTCTTGAACCGTCGCGATCATGCATAGTGGTTTCGCCGATGAATACGAGATCAAAGTTTGCCAACAAGTTCAGGGTTGAATTGCGCCTATTCGAAAAAGATGATGGAGATTGAATTGCGCAAAACGCTGTGTGAGAAAGAACATTCAATCACTACCATTATTCATATGTGTGACCGACTCAGAATGCCCCATTTCAGTTTTGGACCTACATCCCATGTCCATGAAGCAACACCCTTTTTGTGTCTGGAAGATGGATCAAGAAATCGCTCGAACTCTTGAAGGCGCGTGCTCCTCCAACTGCAAAACCAAGCTGGAACATAAAAATATATGTGTGTGTGGCGCAGAGGGGAACCCGGTGGTGCGCTTTTATAGGTGCGTTTCCCAACAGGCACACAAGCCGCGCAACGCCAGGTTCAGTGCGCAGGTGCCCGTCGCGACTGGAGCAGGAGCTTTGCGCGAAGTATCTTTCTCAGCTTTTGGTCCGCTGCGGAGCAACTTTTACTTGATCTGTTGCACTGCTCCGGGTGGGTTTCAAAAAGAAACCTGTCAGCATAACTGGCCAAGCGCAAAAGATTTGACAACAGACCTTGAAACACAAGGGAACAAACCCTAAGCGAGAAAAGTTTTGCACTGCTCCTGCTTGAACCCACACAAAACCCAAACAAAGCTGCCGAAAGGGCGCATCGCGCGCAGCTCTTGCCTTGTGCAGTTGCAAAGGTGACACAGGCTGTCCGACAAACCAAGTGCGCCCTTCCGCCACCGGAAACTCGAGCGGTTCGTGCTTGGAAGAACAGCACATTTCCACGATCGTCCGGCACTTCCAGCGGCTGTCTCAGGGCCGGGCTGCCAAGCGCCAGCCTGACTCAGCGCCAAGGCAAAAAAGCCAAGCGCAGTGTCGGCTGCCTGGTGCAACAGGCGCGGCTGAAGTGCCCAGAAGGTTCTGATGTGCCACGTGGGAAGGCCACTGGAATGCAGCGGAGGCTTGCCAGAGCTGGGCTCTGCGGCGCAGAGATTCCAAAGCGCTCGCGACGTCAACCCACTTGACCACGCTCCTGAGCCACTTCAATAAGCGGCTGCGCGTGCAGGAGAGCCCGCTTCGGCCAATTTGTGAATGAGACCACTTAGTGCGGTCTTGGCGCGCGATCCTGCGCACCCACTCGGCCTGCGCTCATTAGTGACATCCATGAAGCGGGCAGTGACCGGTGGCTGCCAAAGGGACTTTGAGCACAGCAAAGCCTGCGTCAAAAAATCCCAGCTCCGACACGTGCAGCTTGTATTTGAAAAAACTTGCCGGTCAAATTGCAAGGGTCTGGAGACGCAAAGCGCCAGAAATGTGAAACTTGTGCAACTTGGCCAGCACTCGTCCTGAAGGTATTTTTTGGTCACCTGCGCGCCTTGGGGCAATTGCCATCAGTCACGAAACCAAGTGTACATAGGACCTACAAAAAGAAGTGAGACAGTGGTGAGACACGGAGGATGCCACGCGAACGAAACGACAATAACCACAACAACAACAAGGAAAACACAGACAACACACAGGCACCGAACAAAAGAAAACACAGCGCCAAAGAGCAGCCGATCGTTTCGCCCACACGGGGATCGACAGGACAGAGCAAAAGCTCCAACATGCATGACCTGAGCTTTATCAAGGCCAGACGCATCGATTAAAAGTGGCAGGCTTAAAAGTCATCAAATACGCGGGCACATTTGCGCATCGTTAACCCCCACGAATGGCCATGAGGAAAAAGCAAAATGCGCATGAGAGGAACAAAAAAGTCCGCCGAGCACAGACAGCAAGAGAACTTAAAAAATCTCTTGTGGGCAAAAAGGCACAGAAAGTGGCAAAATGAGACAAGGCACGCATGAATTATTGCAGCGCACAGGCATCACCTGTTGCCGTCGAGGGCGGCCCTGCGCAGGTCTCACATGCGCATACACCATCACCACAGTGTATGCGCAGCGCCACAATGAAGATCGTGAAAGATGTGGCAAGGCGAACAAGGCGCCAGGGGAAACACGAGTCCAGGTGCCGTCGTTGTTGCCGGTGCCGAAGCAGTGGTGGAGCTTCTTCTCAGCGGTCTCGAAGGATGCGGGCGCTCCGATCAAGCAGGCGACTACAGCCACCTCTGCCTCCAAGTCCTCTGCAAGTCGGGCGGCAGATGAGCTGGAGCTGAGGTTCAGCATGAACGTCTTTCCCACAAGCCTGGCGAGCATGATCGACGACCTCAGGGCCTGCACTCACAAGCAGCTGCCAGCTGATGGCCTTGCTTCACCCGGCTGCAGCGCGGCGGACGACTCGCTGGCCCTCACGTGGCTTGGCCACGCTGGACGGGCGCCGCGCAGGCGTGGCTCTCTCTGTAGAGGGGGTTTTCCAAATGGCTTATATTCTACCTGAGAGGCTTCTAGCACTCGTCCGTCCAGCATTTGACCTCGTCCTGCGAAGGATTCGAAGTCTAAAACGCTGCGTGCAGGCGTGTGGCTGCAAAATAGAGACCCCTAGATATGCTTGCAATTTGGCTCCAGGTTGCATTTCAAGCGAGCCAACCTTTGCAGGGCTAAGAAAAAACAAAAAAAAAGAAAAAAAGGGGTCCAAAAAAAGGGGTCCCCGAAAAAAAGGGAAAAGGGGTTTCCTTTGGCAAAGCTTGACATCGCTTGAAATGCAACCTGGAGCCAAATTGCAGCGCATATCTAGGGGTCTCTATTTTGCAGCCACACGCCTGCACGCAGCGTTTTAGACTTCGAATCCTTCGCAGGACGAGGTCAAATGCTGGACGGACGAGTGCTAGAAGCCTCTCAGGTAGAATATAAGCCATTTGGAAAACCCCCTCTACAGAGAGAGGTTCGCCTGAGAACTGCTGAAAAGTCTTCTAAAGAGAGGGATACAGGGAATGCAGGGATTCCCTGCAGAAAACTGCTGAAAAGTCTTCTAAAGAGAGGGATACCAGGGATTTGCAGAAACCCTGCATTGAAATTCCCCCAGGATTTCTTGCTATACGCTTAATTTCTTCAACACAAGTGCCAACACAATTGCCACTCGTGTTCACATTTCTGCCGCGCCAAGCCGCTATACGCGCTTAATTTCAACATGTCGGATTACATGTCGGATGAACATGTTCTTGGCACTCCGGGTGCGCCACCCTGCCGAGCCCGCGCCAAGGGATTCTTCCCAGGAAAAAAAAATTCCAGTCCTCCCGTGGGGGGAGGACTGCAGCACGCTTTTTTTTGCCAATGGCTGCAAGGCCGCGCCTGCCCGGCATTGAAGCCGCGCCAAGCCGCTGAACCCCCACTCTCCCCCGGCTCGTTGCTATATGTGCTATATGTGCTATATGGGTCTTACACGCCAAGCCGCTGAACCCCACTCTCCCCCGCGTCCATGCTATATGTGCTATATGTGCTATATGGGTCTTACACGCCAAGCCGCTGAACCCCCACTCTCCCCCAGCTCCTTGCTATATGTACTATATGTGCTATATACTCTGTACGCGCGAAATCTGTACTATATATGCTATATAGGCCATATAGCACATATAGGACATATAGCATGGAATCCGGGGAGAGTGGATGTTCAGTGGCTTGCCTTGTGAGACCCATATAGCACATATAGCACATATAGCAAGGACCCGGGGGGGAGTGGATGTTCAGCGGGTTGCCGCGCCCTGCGTAGACGCAGCAGCGTACGGCCGCATGTATTGGTCCCATGGTGCATGTGGAAAGCTTGTTTTTTGCATGATTTTGCATGACATGATTTTGCATGACATGATTTTGCATGGCATGATTTTGCATGACATGATTTTGCATGGCATGATTTTGCATGGTTTTTGCACGTTTTTTCGCACGGTGTTGCATGTTGCACGTCTTTTCGCATGACATGTGCATGTGGCTCAACCCCGTGCCCCTCCCCCCTGTTTTTTTTCCTGTCAGGCCGTACGTAGGTTCATCCTGGAGCTGGAGAACTCCGAGGCAGGGCGGTGCCGAGCGGGCACCAGTAAGTAGCAGTGCCGAGCGGGCCCTAGTAACTAGATGTGCCGAGCGGGCACGTGCCGAGCAGGCACAGGCAGTGCCGAGCGGGCACGTGCCGAGCTGGCACCCCAGTGCCGAGCGGGCACTAGTAGGAAAGTCACCCCGGTGCCGAGCTGGCACCGTGGAGGGGGTGCAGTGCCGAGCGGGCACTAAATGTGCCGAGCGGGCACGTGCCGAGCGGGCACCTAGGTAAGCGCGCCGAGCAGGCACAGTGCCGAGCGGGCACGTGCCGAGCTGGCACCGTAGGAGCGCCAAGGCGTCCACTGTGGTTGAGTGGCTCGCCCAACGGGTTCGCCCAAGTACGGGCTCGCCCAACGGCCCCTTAGTACTGGCTCGCCCAACCTCGTTTGATGGCTCGCCCAAGTACGGGTTCGCCCAACTGGCTCGCCCAACGGCCCCTTAGTACTGGCTCGCCCAACCGGCTCGCCCAAGTACGGGTTCGCCCAACGGCCCCTTAGTACTGGCTCGCCCAACTGGCTCGCCCAACGGGTTCAGCGGCAAGTCCGAGTGCGCAAGACGTTCGTGTCGTCATTGAAGAGTTCGATACAGTGGAGGACAAAATCCTCCACTGCCAATTCCCGGCCGCCCCTGCCCGGCATCGGAGCCCCGAGCCCAAGGTCGGGATTCTTCCCAGGAAAAAAAATATCGAAACTGTCGTCTAACCCGACAGTTTCGGCGAACCTGCCCGGCATTGAAGCCCGGCCGCGCCTGCCTGGCATAGAAGCCTCCATACATGAGTCCTACATGAGGGAAAACCCCCTCTAAAGAGAGAGGTCCACCACCTCGCTCTCGCGTCCTCGCTGTCCTGGAAAGCGGTAGGATTTAATGTGTCGCTCTGACACATTAAAATTCTCGTAATTCTTCATCGCTGCCCATGTACGAGAAGCATTGGAATGTCCTGTCTGAATGACACACTCGATGAGCTGAGTGGCA